TTGTTTTTAACCAATCAGGATCAGAACACAGGGAATATCAGTATGCAGATCTTTTTATTTTTGGTCCTTTGCTTTACACGGTTGTTACTAATCCCACTTTATCTCCAGAAAGAAAGAATTACAACCAAAACAAACATAAAAAAAACAGCAAAGAATGAAACACCATCACATCCAGCTGAAAAACTGCAGCTCATCCAGACATTTTGACTGCTCTACTATTTACACTTTTAAACACCTTCAACCCATTGAATATGAGGACCCAGCTGGACAGGTGGCCTCTCTGTTTAAGCAATTTCCTTTTACCTCTGCTCCACTAACGTTTATAGCTCAAAACAACACATTTCATAGGTGTGATAATAAAGAGAGGGGGAAGTGATGGACCAATCAGGAGGGACTCTTTTTTCTAAGTTCAAAATAGAGCACTTAAAGCCCAACTGTTGCCTAGATACATAGATTACAGGCAATTACAGCAACAGATTACAGTGGGGGAAAATAGGTGATACTGTCAAAGGAGTACAAATTGCTGCGGCTGCGGGTGAGCGCAGAACGGGGGTCACTATAGATGTGTTTCATACAGTAATCTTAGCATTAGTGTTGATATGTGAAAATGTTTAAACAGGTTTGTTAATATTTTCATTTAGAACCTCCCTGCATGTAACTGTATGTGTTTGAGTGTTTGGTAGAAAACAGGCTGATAAGGATTTAACTCCCCTCCTTTTAGTGTTTAAAAGGTAATACTTGGATATTTCACAAAATTGAAAAAGGAAAATGTTAAAAATTTTCATCAAAGAAAATCAATACAACCTAAGGGCCTGATTTTCAAAGATTCAAAATAAGTAGGGCTAAATTATATAGGAAACAAAATAAATAAATGCACATTCAATAGGTAGGTGTGCTGCAGGTGATCTATAAAGATTACTAGTGCAAATGATAAGACATGCAAACTGGTTTAGTTCCGCTTCATAAAAAGGAGCATTACAAGTGCTACTGGCAGTTTGAGAGTGGACATAAAAGAAAGAAAAAAGAAAGAAAAGAATAAGAAATTTCTACCACATGGAGGTAATAATTGCATTAAAAAAAAGAAATGCTAAAAATAAAAATAAATATTATTCATAACACATTTTACACATGCATCTCGAAGTTCTACAAAAAAACAAAACAATAAAAGGGTAAATGTATCAAAAATTAAATATAGCTTTTACCTTGATGTCCCCTTACAGACTGTGATTGTTCTCTGCTAGTTGTTAATATACTGTTTCTATATATATATATATATATATATATATATATATATATATATATATATATATATATATATATATATATATATATATATATATATATATATATAATATACTGTTTATATACTGTTTCTATATATATATATATATATGTATATATATATATATATATATATATATATATATGTATATATATATACACTATATTGCCAAAAGTATTTGCTCACCTGCCTTGACTCACATATGAGCTTAAGTGACATCCCGTTCCTAATCCATAGGGTTCAATATGACGTCGGTCCACCCTTTGCAGCTAGAACAGCTTCAACTCTTCTGGGAAGGCTGTCCACAAGGTTTAGGAGTGTGTTTATGGGAATTTTTGACCATTCTTCCAGAAGCGCATTTGTGAGGTTGCACACTGATGTTGGACGAGAAGGCCTGGCTCTCAGTCTCCGCTCTAATTCATCCCAAAGGTGTTCTATCGGGTTGAGGTCAGGACTCTGTGCAGGCCAGTCAAGTTCATCCACACCAGACTCTGTCATCCATGTCTTTATGGACCTTGCTTTGTGCACTGGTGCACAGTCATGTTGGAAGAGGAAGGGGCCAGCTCCAAACTGTTCCCACAAAGTTGGGAGCATGGAATTGTCCAAAATGTCTTGGTATGCTGAAGCATTCAGAGTTCCTTTCACTGGAACTAAGGGGCCAAGCCCAGCTCCTGAAAAACAACCCCACACCATAATCCCCCCTCCAACAAACTTTACACTTGGCACAATGCAGTCAGACAAGTACCGTTCTCCTGGCAACCGCCAAACCCAGACCCGTCCATCAGATTGCCAGATGGAGAAGCGCGATTCGTCACTCCAGAGAACGCGTCTCCACTGCTCTAGAGTCCAGTGGCGGCGTGCTTTACACCACCGCATCCGACGCTTTGCATTGCACTTGGTGATGTATGGCTTGGATGCAGCTGCTCGACCATGGAAACCCATTCCATGAAGCTCTCTGCGCACTGTTCTTGAGCTAATCTGAAGGCCACATGAAGTTTGGAGGTCTGTAGTGATTGACTCTGCAGAAAGTTGGCGACCTCTTCTCACTATGCGCGTCAGCATCCGCTGACCCCGCTCCGTCAGTTTACGTGGCCTACCACTTCGTGGCTGAGTTGCTGTCGTTCCCAAACACTTCCATTTTCTTATAATACAGCTGACAGTTGACTGTGGAATATTTAGGAGCGAGGAAATTTCACGACTGGATTTGTTGCACAGGTGGCATCCTATCACAGTTCCACGCTGGAATTCACTGAGCTCCTGAGAGCGACCCATTCTTTCACAAATGTTTGTAAAAACAGTCTGCATGCCTAGGTGCTTGAATTTATACACCTGTGGCCATGGAAGTGATTGGAACACCTGATTCCAATAATTTGGATGGGTGAGCAAATACTTTTGGCAATATAGTGTATATACGTATGTACATAAATTGTATAATATTTGTATTTATATGAATACAATATGCATTAATTAATAGTTCTAAGTTATTAAATTCAGGCTTAGTGTATTCCAATCATTTTGGAAAATTGCACACAGCTTCCCGCTGCATTGGTTTATAATCTCATAATCAGACTTTTTCCTTAACCACACCAATATCATGCGTCCTTTGAATCCGCAATGAAATAGACATGCAAATCGCTTTGAGCCTTGTATGAAGATAAGTTTTGTGTGCGCAAACGAGGTATCACACATTTTAATACGCACAAAAAAATCAAATGTCCAAAAGATCAGAATCCAAGAGGGTTAAATCTTTGATTTCATGCCAAACAATAGATAGAAAAAAATATATAAAAATGGTCTTTGTCAGATAATGAAATAATTGGAAATCATCAAATAAGCTAAATATCATAATTGAAAACATTATTAGTAATTTAGCAAAAACAGCATCGTAAGATGCTTACCAGTGTAGAGTTTACATCATTTTTTCTTCTCAGATAAAGATGTCTTCCAAAAAACAACAACAAAAAAAAAAAAACTGATATTAGGGTTAGACATTTTATGCTTTAGAAAATTCCCATGCAGTAACTGTAAAGCACGGGGAGAAAGGGTTAATGATATGGGGTCATTTTAGCCACTGCTACAGGGCCCCTTAAAGTCATGGGCTTAATCCTCTGTAAATCAGAGTATTTATATTAACTATTAACTTAACTTAATTTAACTAGTACCATTCAACAACCAAACTCCTCAGACAAAGAAAAACATTTATAACAAACAAGAAAAAAAACAAAAAAAAACAGCGAAAGACAATTCAACCTCGGAACCAGTTAATGAAAATCTTGCAGGATGACTTTAAAAGAGTTATGGGGAAACTAATACACCAAATCTTCATACAGGGACAGTTTGAGAAGATTATTAAGGGCAATAGTACATTAAGTTAAAGCTTGTTCAAGACAATTCTACCTGAAAAGTCCTTTTTTTAAATCAGGAATTGATTTTGTTCACTTTTGTTGGGAAATTTAAAAGAAAATGACTATGATTTATTGAGGCTTATCCCTTATTGAGATCTTGTATCAACAATAAGGGATTTGTTTATGAGATGCTCAAAACACATTTTTGTACATCACTTAAGATTTCCCGTGTGACCTAGCTGTAATCTACAAGTGATTTAAAAAAAAAAAAACTCTATAAACATAAAAAAAAAAATACCTCTTTTAACTTGTGGATAAAATGGAAAGTTGACTTTCAGTATCTTTTCAATACATTCAAGACATCTGCCGGGCTGCAAACAACTAGACAATCAATTAGGATGATATTTTCAAGACAAGACAATTACAGGGATGAAAGATTGAAACTGCACCACTTATTTTATGACCAATTAGTGGGATTCTCATGGTTACCATAGCTACCTTCAACAGCAGTCTGCGTGCGGATTTCCTAGGTGCTAAAAATATTCCACCATAACTTAAAGTTTTCGTACTATGTACCTGTTAACATTTTCTAATTAGCATCTTGAGAGATAGATGCAAGAAGATAAAAATGAAGCACCTTTCCTGTGATCAGTTTAGCCAGTCTGTTAACTGCGTGATCCTTTTTATGTGTTGAAGGGAGATGAACATATCTCACCTGTTCAAGTGGGAGCATTTTGAGTTACAAATATTGTATATTAGAGTTACATAAAAGTCACAAGAATCTTCAGAGTATTTATTGAAAGCAGTGATGCACTCACATATATCAGTGATGGCATCATGTCTGGCATCTTGTCTTTGTTTGACAAAAAGACCTTTCTCTTATATTATGTTAAATGGATCCAAAGCTGCTTATCTACTGGCCCAAAAATAATGCAATAACTATTTCTGACAGCTGCTGAAGATGTTGGACTTTTTATCACTCAGCAAAAACTATTTCTCAACTTAAAACTTTTTTTTTTTTTTTTTAATACAGGTTATTAAAACCGTTTCAATTTTGGCTAATGGGGTATGGCATGAAATACAACACAGCTTGTAACAGCTGGATATGTATGGAAGTGAGTCTACAGCCTCGGGTGTAAAACCCAAACTTATGTGGAGAAAAGTGAGACTTTCAGCTGTTTCTGTTTAATGTCTCCATGATTTACACAACAGTTTGTTTTTATAAAGAAGGCTGTAAATGATTAAATTCATGTTTCAATGATTTAAAATGACTTCACAATTATGCAGATAGTTATAGATATTTCCCTGTTTTATTCAACACTGTGTTGATCAAATGTACGAGGTACATTTCTTGTTTTATGTCATGAGCTCAATATGCTTATGTTTGTTTTATTCATTTTCATGGTGATTATGATCATTTGGATGGAAAAGGACAATTAAAAACACCTGAATATGCCCTTTGGAGGCTTGTGAGATGCTACAAAAGCTATTCTGATCACACAGTTGTATGGTGAAAGGAAAGTGGGCTTCATTGCAACAATGCTGGTCAGACTTGGACCAGAAATTAAACCACTTTCCTGAATAAGTGTACGTTTATAGAGCTTTAAATTTGATTTTTTTTTTTAGGATGATTCATTATTCAGCCTTTGAATTATCGGCAGACTAAGGTTGCAACACGTGACTTTTAAGTTAATGCCTACAGGTTATTTTTAAATAAGTCTCCAAGTTGGAGATTTTAGATATTACATGGAGACCTCTGAATCCCAGAGTTAACAGCTTTATTGTGTCTTTATTCAACACTTCAAGACTGTTTTACATAAAAATTAAAAGGTGTTTGTGTAAAACATTTAGAAACTGAATTATTTCTAATGATCAAAACTCTTAACATGGCTCTATTTGCTCTCTAGGGCTCTTAAATTAATCCCTTTTTTAATCACCTTGGAACCCAAAAGATTTTCTTAAGGAGAATCTTAAGAAACACATTTTTCAGTCTTAAAAATTTACAAACTAAAAAACGCACAAAATAAAAAAACACATCTAAATGAGCGAGAATGATTTAATTCTAAAACATGGTAATTTTGAATATATCATAACCATATTGATGGGACACTGATATTTTGTCAGCCTTGAAATGTAAATGTATATTATGTCTGAAGTCAAAGTGAAAGGAGATTTTTTTTTCTGATCTTTTAGGTCACAAAACAAAATCCAACGAGCAGAACGTGTAAACAATGTTCCAAAACCAGAATGAGTGCTTGTACCACCTGTAGCTCAACAGTGACTCTTTTTAGGAAGGAGGTTGCACGTTTTTCACTGTAGCCAGAGAAAAAGGTATCTTCCCCTCCTCCGTATCCGGCGGCTTTGTGATCACATCTGCTCCATCTTTGAATCCCTTCCACTTCAAGCCCCGCTCTCCTCTCTGATCCACTTCCCTCGATCTGTGGAACAGCCGTTCTTTTAAGTTGGCCTTAGGCAGGACCCAGACAACAACCCCCATCACTGCCAGAGCGGAGCCGAGGCAGGACAGCCCGATCCCAGACGCTGTGCTGAGGTGCAGACCCCTGTTGTAGCTGATGGCCTGGGGGTCCACAAAGTACAGGTCTCCCTCTCCGAAGGACTCAATTTTATGGGGGGTGGAGTAAGCGATGGAGAGAGACACAATGCCTGCAGTCAGCATCAGAAGACCCAGAGCCAAGGACAGCTGCAGTCAGCAAGACACAATAAGAGCTGAAGTGGTCATTTCTGCAGAGTAAGTCTTTTTTGTATAGGTTGTGTTATCTGCATGGTGCTCCCAGCATCTTATTATGAAAGGTTACCCATATTAGAGTAGGCAAAACAAAGCCAGGGATGCAGGAGGTCTGTACAGACTCCCCTCGACTTTACAAATACCACAGCCTCATTCAGTGTCTGCAGTCCATTGTGTCGCGACAGTTTAAATGCACAATGCAGAAAACACAATCTGTTAGAGAAGTTCATAGCTGGCAGGCGATAGCAGCCAGCAGGAGGTAACATGTCACAGATGTGGCTGTTTGCAGCCAGCATCCAGCAGTAATTTCTCTACCCTGCGCTCACTACTCGTTTGAAAAATACGGCTGCTTTTCAGATGGTTTTCTATCTAAAAAGGGTCAAAATGAATTTAACTAAATGGTTTCAATGTTGATATGAAACAAAGAAAGAATATAAATACTTCAAAGCACCATTAGCAGAAGTATGTTCATATGAGCAGGAAACAAATAGGGGCTATTTGTTTTTTAAACTAACTGAGAAGGATTCAGTTTAGAGAAGTATAAAAAAAAGACATTCCTTCCCTAAATTATGCTGTAATATCTGGATTTTTTTAATTAAATGTTCTTCTTATTTAAATCTATAAGTATTTCTATGAGTTAATTTTGGAAATTCAGTCCTAAAAAACTATGTTGGAAATCTTTGTTTGAATGTAGCTCAGTGAATGTACCTTCCAGACAACCGAGTTCCACCAAAGGGCTGATTTCTGGGTCCGGACCCCCCGGTTCTCAGGGTCCCTCTCCCACATGGAGGACGAGCACTCCTCATAGAAGTGGTGCAGATAGGAACGAACCCCAAACTGAAGACAGCTGGAACCTGCCTGGAAGATCACTGTGTTCAAGGTTACCACATAACAGGGGAAAAACAAAATGCCCATCTCTGACTCTTTTGGGTTTGCTTTAAGGGCATATAATTGTGGTTGTGAAATTTAGTTTAAAAGCCATATTTACAAAAAATAGTTGCAAAATTGAATTACATTTACAGATACTGGTAGCATTTTGTCAAAAACATTACACCAAACCTCTGCTTGGATTCTGTTTTTGAAACATTGAAACATTTTTTTGCTACATTTTGGTTTTGTAGTGGTTTTTCTTTTTCATTATCCTGATATATAACCTTTGGCCTAAGGTAGTGAAATGAGGTCAGGCCATTTTCCTTAAGTAGATCGATCGATCTGTCCGTTTAAAGCTCACCTCGCTTCCAGAGGACTCCCCTCCTGAGCCAGAAGTACAACCTTCAGGGCACAGCGCCATCGTTCACCACTTTTACCTGCAGCAAGGAAACAAGTTATCCAGTGAAAGGTGGTGTAGATGTTTGCAGTAGCTTATAAAAGTATTCACACCTACGCTATAGCCTCAAACTCTAATCTACGGAGAAAAATGAGGAAAACTTGGGATTTTTAGAAACTTACAGCTATTTGGGAACCTTGGCAGGCATCTGTATTCAGCCCAAAAGCATTTATTTACAGAATCGCATTATGGTGATGGAGGTTTTTTGGAATATTTCAGCTTTACATGCCAAAAGAGAGAAATTTGTACCTAGTCTTCCTTGCAAAACAGCTCGATCTAAGTCTCAGTCAGACTGGATGGAGGAGGCTTCAGCTTTGCCAAAAATATCAATTACAATTCTCAGATAGGTGAAGGTTAAGGGTCATAGAGGCTTTTCTTCCTGCTCACAAGATCTTCATGCTGGAAGCAACATTTTTCTTAGACAAGGATTTGATGTGAGCAGAATCTACCTTTTTATTCCCTCTGATGGGGACAGTACCTTCAGGGGGATGTAGTTTCACATTTCCACGGCTCATTCAGTTCGGTATTTTGGCCAATGTTTGGTTTCAGAGTACAAAGCAATAAATATAAATCTACAGCAGTGTCCAGGTTTTTATTTTTTTATAAAAATCCGGTCATTCTTCACCTGGCATCTACAGTAAGCTGCGCTATGGGTTTAGCGTATAAAGTAACCAAAAACACACACAAATAATAACAGAAGAAAATCTTATCCTTGATAATCAAGAAATAATTAAATTGCAGCATTTTTATTTCCGTCAATCAAATCCTCCCTCCCAGCAGAAGCACGTCATGAATTGGGATCTTTGTCATCAGCTGCTGCCTGTGAACGTCTCATTGCTTCTGCTGTTCTTAGCTCACTCTCTCTCCTCCCACATATGACTCACACATATCCAAGAGTCTGTGTAGTGTATTCATACCCCAATGCTGTTGATTCATTAAACAAGTTGCCTTGATGCTGAGTTTCGAAGCTCTACAGGATTTCTTTTTATTAAAATCTATACTTTGTGCTTTTATTGAGTTGTCTTTAATTTCATACCTGAAATGGTGATAACCAGAGAGGAATGTTTTTTTTTTTTAAGTAAAGGAATGTTTAAATGCTTGGTCACCTTGTAAGAAAGAAACCTTCTCTACCTAAGCTAATTTTATCTCCATTTTTGTTATATTTTCAACTTAACAGAAAACATTTTTATGAGAATAGAATTAAGTTATGCAATACTCCCCCAATTATGTATTAAACTGTAAACTGTAGTCCATAATAAGGTCATTTTTCCCATAATACACATTTCCTACTTAGTAGTATTTAACCTTTATGCTAATAATAGATTGAGTTAACAGCATAATAATTTACTCTTGTTTGTTATATTCAGAAAATCCTTGTATAAAACTAATAAATGATTGGGACTATATGTTGTTGTGTTAAAACCATAAGTATGGATTCACTCGGTTTGATTTAAACTATTCCTTTGCTATGGAGCCTGAATTTTCAACCAAATCTCCAAAAGTTGTTTTTCCTGGGTTGCTATGTGTTTCAGTCCATTCATCCACCAGTCAGTAAACAGCTTTCCTCTCCCTGCTGATGACAAGCACCCCCCATCACAATGCTACCACCACTTTGGCTATCTTCTTAAATTGAATAAAGTTGGGATGAATTTGCATTTCCAGGATACTTAGCACTTAAATGTTTTGTCATATTAAAAATGTGCTGTTATTTTCCTTTGATGGTTTGCTTTGTACTTGATGTTTTTAATGATCCTAATGATTTTACTATACATTTTTAATGGTTTTATGATAAAAGCACCACTGAAATGTGATTTACAATAACATTCATGTAATTAATAATTTCTAATAGTAAACAGATGATACTAAGCTGATAAGTATCAGCTGTAAACAGCTGATAATGAATCAAAAACCGAGTATACCAAGTATATGGTATGTAACATTTGACCTGAAAGCAAGACAAATGTTAAATATCACTGTGTCAAATACAACATATCTGCTCCATATAAAAACCTGCACCACACCTTTTGGATTTATAAGAGATTTTTTTTTTTTTTTTCTGAAGAGGAGCCACACCAAAGATAGAGTTTACATCTGTGAAACTGACAGCAGAGTCAGAAAACAAAAGTGGTTGCCTTCCAATGAGCTTTCTGTTTATTTTGAAGCTGGCAGAAGCTGAGTTCCAGACCTCCGATTGTTTACTTGCAAAGAAAATCTGTCATCTTTACTTGCAAATGATTCAGTGTGTAACTTCCACCTGCTCTATCAAATTAATGAGTTTATTGACAATTAAATTCCTCTTGTTCTTTGGCACCTTCGTCATTTACACAGCAAGACTTTTGCTTCTATTGTTTCTTTCATACTGGATCAGATTGAGGGGAAAGGATGAGTTTGTCAACCTAACCTACCAAAAAGTTAAAGTCAAAAGTATGCATAACCCTGCAAAACAAACACGAACAGATATACTTTGTTGGATATTTTCTCGACAGATCACCAAAAGGAAGTGCAAGATCTTTTAGTGGAAGAAAACAATGGATGTGGCAATACCTCAGTAAAGCAAGCTTGGAAGCCTCAGCAGTTATATCTGTCATCTGAAATTGGAAAGAGCATGTAACCACTGCTAACTTATAACCTAAATACTATCAGACGGTTGATCAGAGAAGCAGCTAAGGGGTTTCTGACTTTTATGGAAGAGTTGCAGAGATCCACAACTCATATGGGATATTTACTGAAAGAACTATAGACTGCAAACCCGATCTTTTTAAAAAGTGACCGAAGAAAAATCATTGTTGGAAAAGAAAAATACCTCAGAAGTGTAATTTGCTGCCTGTCACATGCCATGCAGGGGGCATAGCACACATGGAAGAAATGAGACCTTAATTCAATATTTAGGCCTAAATTTAAAATTACCATGTGGCATAAAACCAACCAGCACATCACCTTTGAAAAAATCTACCCTGCTGTTAAATGCTGTAGGGATGCTTTCTTTGGCAGTGACATAGAATAAAGATACAATAGAGCTTCAATCCTAGAACAACACACAATCTACTGAAAAAAGAGAAGTTAAAGGGGAATGTTGTTTTTTTTACATTGGGCCCTTGATTTTACGTTATTACATCATGGTCTACACACCCATATGAGTTTTGTGTCATTTGGAGCTGTTCAGTTAGGTCATATCCAAGTAACATCTTTAAAGCTTGTAACTCTGAGCAAGCTGTTTTTGGAGAGGTGTTTTATTTATTTTTTATTATTATTATTATTTTTTTTTTTTTTCATTTTACCGCTTGTTAATATACAACTAAGAAGTGTTGTAAACTGTTCATGGCTTGCATTTTTAGACCATTGATGCAGGTCCAAAAGGTCAGAACCAGACTGGGTAAAAGGGTTTTTAAATTTTCCTGCCTGCCGCCTTCAATAATTAGCAGATGGATTTAAAGTTATTATATATTGTTTTATATTATACTTTGTTTCTTAGGTGAAATTTAAAAAAATTGAACAGCTAGAGAAACCAAATCACTTGCTTTCCCTAATGTTTAATCATATGATTGCACCCCCTCCCATTTTGTAATTTCAGTATTGGTCCAAATTCGACCCACATTTCCTTAATTATAGGATTTTTATATTTTATTCTGCTTTCTTGTCCAGTAAACTCTTGAAAAAAGAGGGTAAATTAAGGACACATAGATACAATAATACATACAAGCATACTTTTAACAATATAGCTTAATAGCTACATCTTATAAACAAAAAAAAGCACCATAAGTTGGGAAAATACATGAATTACAGTAGGCCTCATAAATGCATCGGCTAGAGCTCTCCATGGTGCTGAACATTGCTGTTTACTCCTTTCCTGCTTCAGAGACTAGTTTAATTCTGTAGACATAACAAAGCTAAATTGCTCCTGAAATTACTCTGATCAAACAGATGGAATTTGGCAGTTATGTTTCATGACTAATGCACAATGTTGGTTAGTGGTTGAGACATTCATATTCTCTCCGAACAGGCAGGAACACACTGTGCTGTGGTCACTTTAACTCTCTGCTCACTCCAGCTAACCGCTGCCACTGGATCCCAGTGAGTCACCGCAGCTCCTCTCCCTCCATCACCGCATTTCAGTCAAAGTGTTTCACCGAATCTTTCTTCTAACAGACTACCAGACTGTAGGTGCGGTTAGGGGTCGGTCTTACCTCTCCTAACCGGAGCGGATCGCCTTTCTCACTGGGCATCCATCTGCTGTCGAACCACTTGATCTCCAGCTGCCGCCGATTAGATACGCTGAGGAAAGACACTGAGCATGCGCGAAGAGGGAAGGAGAAATACGTGTTTAGAAGCATTTTTCTACATTATTAATATTAATATTTAGAGAATGCGTGCTAAACTTCAAAATCCACTCAACATTACCCTGTTTTTTATTTTACGTTATTTTTTTTTTTACATAAAGATGACAAAAGACAGTCAACTAGGAAAAAAAAAATTTATTTTTTATTTTGACACATTTAAATACAGTCAAATTGAGCCCATATGTTCCACCTTAACCTAATCATCTATGTAGTCAATTTCCTTTTAAATCATTTTGGTTAAAAGTTTAAAAAAAAAAATAATAATAATAATACTACAGACTGATACATGTTATTGACTAAAATTCACCCATACTGAGTGAACTTTAGGTGAAAGTGGCTTGGGATGTATAGTTGTTTTTTCCCAAACCCTCATGCATCCACTTAAAGGTATAGAGGACGATCTTTTATTTCTGGGTGGATCATCTAAATATGTGGTCCTCTTGATCATCATTTATTCTGGTGACATGTTTATGTAAGGTCCTACGTGCTCCTCCTGTTAGCTATCTTTTTCTGCGCATGCACACTTTCAGCCACATATCTGTGGTGAGCTACAATTTGCATAAGTCATTGAAGCTAACCTTTCTTACCGCGGTTCTTTGAAAAAGGCAGAGGGAAGTAAGAGAAAAAGTGTCTACAAAGTGTATGAGAAGAAATGAAAGGCCTCAGAAGAGGCAGATATATCCCAGAATGCTTTGCAGGAAGAGCTCTCCTCGCAAAGCACCATGGGAATTGCTGTCACAGCGGCCCACTTTCACCATAGGCGACTAATAACAAAGATGGCGCAGGCACCGCACGGAGCAGGAGGAGTTACATGATCAACGGAGCAAAAAGCAGTGATTGTCTGTCCAAACAGTCAGTTAACTGAGTTTGCTATAAAGTCCACTATATAGTCCCTGCTATATGTGGACACAGTATGGTTGTATGAGCAATGAGAACAGCACAATTTAAACAGGGTGTGCACGCTGAGAAATGGACTTGTGCAAGCTCTTGCACACACAATTTTTTTTTTAAGTGGAGAGGGCGAGTTTTTAAAAGAGGAAGAGAGGGTTCCCACAACACTATACTATCTCTACTGTGGTTCTCTTTGAGAATAATATGTTTATTTGTTTTTACAAATTATAATTTCCTAATTAGCTCTTTTAATGTAGATCTAAAATATTCAGTAAGGCTGCAATCATACTTTAGTGGCTTCTTTTACTTGTTGGCTATGCCCTCTATATGCTTTTAGGGAAACTGCAAATAGTAGCTCTTCAGGTTTTTTTTCCCTCCATAAAGGCTAGATTTGTACAGTTCACTACTCAAAGGTGTGTTTTGTCTAAAGACAACACAAACTATTTGACTTTTGTGCTGTTTTTACATCTTTATTATAAATCGAATGTAATTTTCCACCAAATTTTTCTTTGCTTTGTGTTGATATATTATTTTATTGAAGTTGAATATTACAATTTTTTATTTAATCAAGTATTTCTTATTTCAGTTATTTTTGTATTTAATCAGCTTTATATTTTATGTGTCATTTATATTCATTTTACATTTTACATGAAGGCGAGGAAAGTTAATGTTTTGAATTCATCAGGACCTTCATCCACATGCTTTCTAATTCCTCCATCTCTTCTGTGGGAAACTGTTAACTGGATCTGACTTTTTTCTCCCCATAATAATAATCCCTTACCTGCTGTTATGATTGTCTAAAAAACATAAATTAAAAGAAAGCTCAACTTCACGTAAAATTTGAATAAAGAAGTGCACATTATATTATGAAATGTTTCAGCCAATTAATCAGAATAAATTAAAGGTATATAATAATGCTACAATAATGAGTTGTGTGAAGTTTTTGGGTGGGCTAAAACAATAACAAATTTCAAGGACAAAAATGTGGGGTAAGGGATATAAAGCTGTACTAAGGGGGGTGTTTGTCACAAACCTATTCCTTAAAGGTTACATTTGTGTTGTAGAGGACTCATAGTTCTAGCGTCAGCAGCTTCTCCTAACTATAAGCAACAGCCTGACCTGCTCTTTACTGGAATCTTCCTTGTACCTCCTAAAAGATAAGCATCCCAATGGTATCATGAAGCTATTGTGTCTAAAAGTGGGTAAGGAAGTATCCAAAGCTTAGGATTTAGGTTTCTAACCTAATACTATGGGGACTGTTGTTTATATAATGTTTTCTTTTAAACTTTTCAGACCTTCAAAGGAGAGATTTATATTGAGAATAGAATACTCCTGATTTCACGCTGTCAGTTAAATAATGACTTTTGAAGCTAACTGCTTAGCTAGTGGATTGTTATTTTAGATATTACTTTAAAGGGTCTAAAACAAACCTCATTAATAACACATACTGAGATGTGTTTATATATAATGGAAACAATGCCTCACTTTTAATCCGCTTTATAAGCATGGCTACTTTGGATTTATCAATCCCATCCATAAATACTAAATCGTAGAAGGATTGAGAGTGTTGCATACTTTCCACTTTTAGTTATCCACTTTATTAAAAAATTGTCAGACAGTTCTTCCCGTATTTGTTTGCTGAATCTAAAGCTCTATCACCTTGGATTGGAGACATCTGTGAACAGCCGTTTTCAGACCTCAGCAGAGAGGTTCTGTTTGATTCAAGTTTAGAATCTGGTATTGCCAGTGTAGGGCATTTACGGAGTGGTTCTGAAGCCCCTCCCCAGATATTAGCTGCGTGCTTTGAGCGATCATCCTGCTGAATAATGGAACATCTCCCTATACTGAGGTTAAGAGTTTTCTGAAGGAAGTTTCCACCCAGGACATCTTTGTTCTCTCACTGCATCCATACTGTATTTTCATCTATCAGCTCCTGCAGCTGATGCAGCTCTTGCATTCTCAGCTCTTGCATGATGCTGCCACCACCATGCTTCAGTGTAAGGACATTAATATTCTGGTAATGGATGACGCCTGACTTCGTCAAAACATGATGCCATGGATTCACACCACAGTCTATAGCCTGTTTTTCAGCAGACTAGATAATTTTGTTTCTTCTTGTCTGGAAGTAATTTAGGTATGTTTTGCTAAATGGCAGCTTGGCTGCCGTGGGCCTTTTTTAAGTTGTGTTCTTTTTTCCTGGTGACTCTACACCACAGGCTTGATTGGTTGTTTGCTACAACCTTATGGTCAAAGCTGTAACTGTGACCATGGGGTCCTTTTGTCACCCCCTGACTAAACTCCTTTTCTCCTGATCTCTCAGTTTAGTCAGCCCACCAGCTCTGGGAAAAGTTTTGATGGTTCCAAACTACTTCTATATAATAATGATGGAGGCCAATGTTCTCTTTTGGACCTTCAAAGCAGCAGAAACGCTTTTATGTCCTTCCACAGATTTCTTCCAGAAAACAATCCTGTCTCAAAGGTCTACAAACATTTCCTTTGACTCATTTTTTGTTACAGACTTTTTTTCTAAGTTTGAAAACATTTTGCTTTTTTCAATTCAAAATGTCAGGAATAGCGTTGAGTTTGAGGTTTTATACCGTAGACCATCATACTTTTGGGCTGCACCATATCAGCACATGCTCATAACGAATGTTTAGGATTGTTAATGTCCCAAAAAAAGATCCCAAGTCTAAATCCGAGCCTGTTTCTTTCTCTGCAGTATTACATTTAAAGTTTTTTTTTTTTTTTTGGGAGAATTCTTTTAGGGTTTTGCAGTCTGCTTTCAGAGTTGACCTGGATGGAAGGGCAGATGTGTGACTTTTGGTAGTTAATTTGAATTTCCTCTTCAAGGAGACCTCTTTTTCTGTAAGGTGGGATGATTAATTCCAAATTCCTCTTCGACCTCTTAAAATATGTTACCACACGTCAGCCTTTCTTTTCCAGCAGCTCTGGTAATGTCACCATGCTTTTCTCTCTTAATTTTCACTCACCCAGCTGAATATTGAAGGTTCAAGCTAGACAACCCTCCTTAAAAAGCTCAGTATTAATGTTTTTACCATTATCTCCTAATGTCATATGTTTCTGCATGATATTCATCATTTCAAGTGGCAATAAGTGTGAGGCATTGCTAAATTATTCCTAACCAGTAATTCTTTCTGATATCTTTTTAAATTCTTTAATTTTTTTGCTGTTTATTTTTTTTATTAACATCACATTGTTAAAAGATATATTACATATCCATATGTCAAAATATGTTAGAAGAACACACAAGCTGTTGGGATGTGTCCTGATTTTTTTTTCATGACTGTATATGCTAATATGTGCTCTGTAAATATATCCACAACATGCATTATTTATGGAGTCTGTCACAACAGTTCCCAAATGAAAGGGAACCAAAAGCCACCAGTCCCACATATTTTCACAATCGGCACATGGAAGTACAGTCGCTGCGAGGCAGAGTAAGTCAGCTGGTGGTTTGGTATGTTTGTGCATAAGAAGGCACTGCTTCATCACCCCCACATATTTGTTATTTGGACACAGTATGAGAAGTCATAAAGGGCAGGATGAGACTATTTCTAGGGAGCCCCGGTGAGAGAAAGACATGAAAAACTGGCTGTGTGTGTGTGCCGTTCATCATCTCCACACACACATTAAGGTCTCTGTGTAACAAAGCTGTGCTCTGCCACAGAGAGACACATTTCCATGGTTACCAGTCCAGCAAGGTCAGGCACATGAAGCGAAAGCCATGTGTTGATTGGTTCAAAGATAATTGCACTTTTCTTAAGATGATGTGCAAACAGCATTTTTTTTCACCATCTCCTCTATTTAGAAGCTGTTGTAAAGCACTATCTGTAATTTCAGCTGCAGGCCTTGTTGCCTTTATTACTTCCTTAATTCACTAGCTTGGGAAGCTTATTCTTCAGTGTGGTAAATTGTGAATTGTGCTTGTCTGTTGTCTTAAAAATAAGCAGCACATCAACCCACAGCTGCCTGTAAAAAAAAAAAAAAACTCAAAAACCCACTGTCAATATCCTGGAAAAACTAAGCAATCATGGTA